ATCACAGGGCCAGGCTGGAGATCTGTAAGCTTTCAGTCCTCCTCAAGTGGTCTGATCTAGAGCAGAATTTTATTGCTGCCTTCTGGTCTGAGTTCTGCAAGATCCTGATCTGGGTTTAGATCTGAAGAAGAGTAGATTGCTGCTGGACTCCATTCTTATCAATCTCCTGGAAAGCTGTGTTAGCTCAGAGCAGCAGAATTCTAGGCTCCCCTTTGTGCTAGGATTTCCACAACTTGTTCATCCATTCCCCATTGTTGGACATTCTCTCAATTTCCAATTGTTGGCCACCACAAAAGTTGCTGCTATAAATATTTTTGTATATTTGGGTCCTTTTCCCTTTTTCATGATCTCTTTGGGATATAGTCCTAACAGTGCTATTGCTGGATCAAAGGGTATGCACAGTTTTATATTCCTTTGGGCTAGTTCGAAATTGTTCTCCAGAATGATTGGATCAGTTTACAACTCCACCAACAATGCATTAGCGTTCCAATTTTCCCACATCTTCTCCAACAAATATCATTTTGCTGTTTTGTCCTGTTAGCTAATCTGATAGGTGTGATGTGGTACCTCAGAGTTGTTTTAATTTGCATTTCCCTAATCAGTAGTGATTTAGAGCATTTTTTTCACCTAACTATAGAGAGCTTTAATTTCTTCATCTTCAAATTGCCTCTTCATATCTTTTGACCATTTATCAATTGGGGAATGACTTATATTCTTATAAATTTGACTTGGTTCTCTGCATATTTTAGAAATGAGGCCTTTATCAGAGATACTGGCTGTAAAAATTGTTTTCCAGCTTTCTGCTTCCCTTCTAATCTTGGTTGCATTGGCTTTGTTTGCACAAAATCTTTTTAATTTAATGTAGTCAAAATTATCCATTTTGAATTTCATAATGTTCTCTGTCTCTTGTCTGCTCATAAATGCTTCCCTTCTCCATAGATCTGACAGGTAAACTATTCCTTGTTCTCCTAGTTTGCTTATAGTTTCATCTTTTATGTCTTAATTGTGTACCCATTTTGACCTTATCTTAGCATAAGGCCAAAAAGAGTTCTTGGAAGAGCTTAAAAAGGACTTTAAAAATCAAATAAGAGAAGTTGAGGAAAAATTTGGGAAAAAAGCAATGAGGAGAAGACCAGAATGAAGCAGAAAATTTGACACACAAGAAAAATAAGAGGTTAATATGAAAGACCAGTTATAATGGATTTAATAAGGTCAAACTATTTACCTCTAATATGGAAAAATTATCTGCAACTCTTAAAAATGTTATTATTACTAGGATAGTTTGAAAGAATATATATATATATAGATATAGATAGATAGATAGATAGATAGAAGGCTTGGAATTGAGTTGAGTATGATTGTATGATCTTGAAAAATATAATTGTGTAGAGAAAGCTAAAATGGAGCAAATATCTCATACAAATGAAGTGTGAATGGAAGAACTATTAAAGTGGAAGGCAGGAGACAGTGAGACATGGTGCTAGAACCTTATTACCTTCAGAACTGGGTTAAAGAGCAAATAACATACATCTCAAAAGTATAAAAAATTTTTTAACTTACAGAGAAATAGGAGGTCAAGGGAATGGAGTAAGAGAGGGATTCTTAGAAGGATATGCACATTAAGAAATAAAGAGGGCAAGGGGGTATGATAAGGAATGGAATCTTAGAAGGGGTGCGGATTAGGGAGGCAGTGGTCAAAGTAGATTAGACATCTGAGGAGGGATAGGGTAAAAAGAGAGGGAGAGAAGGATAAACAGTGAGGAAAAATAGGGTGGAGGGAAATACATAATTAGTAATTACAACTTTGAATGTGAATGGTATGAACTCACCTATAAAATGGAAATGGATAGCAGAATGGGTTAAAAACCAGAATCTGACAATATGTTGTTTACAAGAAACACCTTTTAAAATGAGAGATACACAGTGAGTAAAAATAAAGGGCTGGAGTAGAATTTATTATGTTTCAGCTGATGCAAAAAAAAACCCCACAGGTGTAGTAATCATGATTGCAGACAACGTTAAAGCTAAAATAGATTTAATTAAAAGAGGTAAAAAGTGAAACTACATTATGATAACAGGTACATTGATAATGAAGTAATATCAATACTAAACTTATATGTACCAAATGCTACAGCGTCCATATTTTTAAAGGAAAAGTTAAATGAATTACAGGTAGAAATAGATATTAAAACTGTAATAGTGGAGGACTTTAAAACTAGGTAAATTTAACAACAAAAAAAGAAGTTAAGGAGATGAATAGAATCTTAGATAAACTAGATATGTTAGATCTGGAGAGAACTGATTGGGAATACAAAGAAATATACCTTTTTCTCAGTGGTACATGGTGGCTTTATAAAAACTGATCATATATTAGGGCATAAAACTTTACAGTTAAATACGGAAAAGCAGAAATAGTAAATGCATCCTTTTCAGATCATAATGCAATAAAAATTACGTTTAATAAGGGACCATGGAAACATATTTTAAAAGTTAATTGGCACCTAAGTAACCTAATCTTAAAGAATGAGTGGGTTAAAGAATAAGTCATAGAAACAATAAATAATTTTATTAAAGGGAATGATAATAATGAGGCAGCATACTAAAACCTGTGGGATTCAGCAAAAGTAGTAATCAGAAGAAAATTTTTATCTCTAAATGCTTACATCAATAAAATAGAGAAAGAGCTGATCAGTGAATTGGGCATGCAGTTAAACAAACTAGAAAAAAAAACAAATTAAAAATCCCCAATTAAACACCAAATTGGAAATCCTAAAAATTAAGGGTGAGATCAATATAATTAAATGTAAGAAAACCATTAAATTGATAAATAAAACTAATAGTTGGTTTTATGAAAAAATCAATACTATAGATAGACCATTGGTTAATGTGATTCATTAAAAGGGTAAAGAAAATCAAATCATTAGTGTCAAAAATGAAAAAGGTGAATATACTACTAATGAAGATGAAATTAAAGCAATTATTAGGAATTATTTTGCCTAATTATATGCCAATAAATTTAACAATTTATGTGAAATGGAAGAGTGCTTACAAAAAATATAAACTGCCTAGATTAACAGAAGAGGAAACATAATATTTATTTATTCACTCATTCATTCATTTATTCATTTATTTTTTCGTTTCATTTCATTTCATTTCATTTCTTTCTTTCTTTATTCATTCATTCATTCATTCATTCGTTCATTTATTTATTTTGCTTTTAGGCAGTTGGGGTTAAGTGACTTGCCCAGGGTCACACAGCCAGTAAGTGTCAAGTGTTTGATCTGAGGCCGGATTTGAAGTCAGGTCCTCTTGACTTCAGGGCCGGCACTCTATTGAAACATGATATTTAAAAATATCTGTTTTTCAAATTTAGCATCTTTCAAGCTTCATAGAAATCTTTCATCACTTACGCATTTTGACACTGTTCTTATTACGAGTTCAAATTTCTTTTACTTTTTTAACTCAAGAGTTTAACAGTTTGAGGAGCTGATTAGCCAAACAGGGCTGTGTCACAATTTGGCCCCAGAGTACCATCAGGCTTTGATGACAATTTATAATGGTCTTTATAATATGACACAGACTATGATATGGTGTTCTTGATAGGTGTGGGCTATGTCAATTCTTTCTAACAGTTTTTGGAAAAGAGGAACTCTTTTAATATTAAAAATAATTATATCTCTCTCCACAAAAGTATCTGTTTTATAAATACCTGTTAACTTAGAGAATAGATGATAAAAGTCAATATAAATTCAGTAATACTTTTATTTTTATGATTATTTTATTGTATAATAATTTGCATTATCATAAAGATGATGTTGATGTGATCTCCCTTACCTCTGAACTTTGAAATATGTTGTACCTATTGCATATTGCTTCCTCTTTGTGTAAATTCATGTTCCCTATCTGATCATAAGTTCCTTGGGAACAAGAATTATATTTTACCTTTATACCCCTTAGAGCATCTAGCACAGTGCCTTGTACATGGTAGACATTCAGTAATTTTTTGTTGAATGAATGAAAGTACAAGTAGCAGCATTAGACCTGAAAGAAACCTTTGGGATGATCTAGAGCTCAGGAAACTGTGGTCCAGGAGTTGAGACTTGTAGAAGGTCACATATGCAGTTAGTAGAAATCCAAGATATCATTTTTTTTAATGTTTTTTAGTCTCAGTTTATTAAAGAAGTTTAAGATGGAAAACAGTTGTCACATGAAATGACCAAAAGACCAAGAAAGTACTTAAAAGCCAGGAAAAGCATCATCTTTCGAAGTTCAGGGATATGAGCCATTGGCAGCATAGGTTTAGAGTGAAAACCCTTTAGCAAAACATTTCAAAGGAAGAATTATAGAAAATTGTCAACAGTGTTTGCCACATGAAAGAGTAAAAAGAAATTGACTAGAAAATGATATTGAAAGGCTTTTAGATCACTCAGTATGAAAACTGGCTGATGCACTCCAGAAAGATTACTCTATATTTTTATTATACCATGCTTCCTAATAAAAGTTTAAAACTTAAATGTTTATCAGAACTTTGTGAAAATGACTTAATGGCATTTCTGCTGTTTTCATCAAGCAATGCCATTAATAAAAGAAATTATATAGAAGACAATTATAGTGTAAGTAGAAACCATTAAAAAATTACATTGTTATTGAATTTGCCCTTTAATTTCATTTACATATAGCTAAAGCATGAATAAAGTTTGATTTCTCTCAAATTTTCAAGAACTTTTTGGAAACTTTAAAAGTAACTGATTTTTTTTTCAACACAGTTTAAAATAAGAAAATCAAATAATGTCATTGGTTAATTGCTGTGAGTCCTTTAGGGTCCTATTTTTAGTCCTTCAAAAGATGAAGCAATTATGGGACTATCTTTTACATATAATTAAAAGAAGCAGTATCTCCCTTGTTGCATTTTACAGAATTTCAAATGATAATTTTTAGGCTTATTAATATATAAAACAATATTTTAGTGTTAGTTGATGATTTTAGAATTCTATTTTCAGCTGTTAACCTATGACAGCCAGCTTACCAAGCTTCGATCTGAAGTTGAGAAAGGGGAGGCACTTCGACAGAGTCTCGAATATGAACTTGCTCTTGCTAGAAAGGAAGTTGGCCTTGGAAGATTTGCTACTGAAGAAAAATTAGGTGAGGCACATAAGAAGAATGAACAACTACGAGGTACATATATTTTTCTTGTTTTATCTTTACAACTATATATATAGCTTATGTATATATAGCTTATGTGTGTGTATATATATATATATATATACACGTATATATATATAAAACATAAGTTGCTTAGAACCTGCTGCTTGTAGAATGACAGAATTGTGGAACTGATCTCTAATTAGTATAGGTAACTTTAATCTGCTTTACAGGTATAAATTTCATGTCTAATTCTGACCCACTGTTTCAGGTACTTGAAATTAGTCTCAAGTATATTTATATGTTTGGTCTGATTTTCATATGAAAGGCAAGTTAAATGTTTATTATTGCTACCTTTTAAAAATTTTCTCTCCTCATGTTAGTCAATTAAAAAATAATTTATTAAATGCCTATTATGTACCAAGTACTGTGCTAGGTGTTGGGAATACAATGATTAAAAACAAAACAAAACTGAAACAGTCCTTGCCCACAGGGAGATTTTGATTTTTCAGGGGAGACAATATCTATCTATGTAAGTATATGGAAGGTAGATATAAAAGAAATAAATTAACTTTGTGTTGGGAAGGTAGTAGCAGCTGGGGGATCAGGAAGGGGTTTCTATAAAAAGTGGTGCTTGAGCTCAGTTTGGATGATTCTTCTTTTCTCTGTCTGGCATGTAGTAGGCACTTAATAAATGCTTGTTTATAGATTGACTGACTATCTCATTCCCCACAAAGATTGTTCCAAACTTTCTCTCCCCCTCCTTAAACTTCCCATTCTGTTTCATCCCACTTTACTTTAAGTCTCTGAGAAAGAGCTCAGGTCCTTTCTGTGTACCCTTGCTAAACCATTCTCTTGTCTTCTCCATAAGATGCCACCACATTCTTCCTCTACCCTCTAATTTTTGGTCTCTCCCCTGTTTATTGGCTCATGACAGTGCGCTTGCCACTTTCAAGGAAGAGCCACACTCTCATCATCATTGTATATGCCCCCACCATGACCAGCCCTGATGAACTCAAATAAAAAATTTTATGAAGACCTAGAGACCCTCATCATCAGTGTGCTGAAAGAACACAAGCTTGTAATGCTGGGCAACTTTAATGCCAGAGTAGGCATAGACCATCAGACATGGCAGGGAGACCTGGCCTGGACAGTATGCCAGTGCTATGCCAGAAAATTTAATTGCTTCCATTTCACTTGTCTTAGGAAGGATCTGAAGATCACCTAGCAAGATAAGGTACTGGACACTGAGGTCCTTTCTCAAGCTGAACTACCAAGCATTCAAACTCTACTGCAGAGAGTACAACTCTAGTGTACTGGCCCATGTCGTCCAAATGCCAAACGTACATTTTCCATAAAGACTGTTTTACAGAGAACTCACACGAGGCAGATGCTCACACAGAGGTCAGAAGAAGCAATACAAGGATACTCTTAAGGTCTCTCTGAGGAACTTTGGTATCATTTGTGACACATGCAAAAGACACTAGCACAGGACCACCCAGCATGCTGTCATTAAAGAAGGTTCTGTGCTCTCTGAGCAAAGTAGAATTGTGGTAGCTCAAAAGAAACACAAGGCATGCAAAGATGTGAGAATCATCCTCTTCCCAAATGTTCATACTGATTATTTGTGCCTGACCTGTGTTAGAGTTTTCCAAGCTTGTATTGGTCTGATCAGCCACAGTCAGACACATTGTATGCTTGGTTCTCTTCAATTATGAAGGACAACAATGAAGTCGTAGCCCCTAATTATGAATATTCACCAAGACCAACTTGGCCCTTTTCTTGTCTGTTGGTGACCTCATCACTACCATGCGTCTGATTATTGTGTCTGTGCAAATGAATTCCAGATCTATATATTCAACCCTGGTTTCTCTCCTGAGCTCTAGTTGCCTGTCTCTACCTGCTTATTGAATATTTCAATCTAATTAATTGAGTTAGTTAGAGAATGTTCCTAAAATGATAGCAATCAGTGTAGATACTATTTCTTACAATAGTTTAATGTGTTTAAATTTTGATAGGATGAACAGCATTTTTTAACTTTACTAAATCACTGTATTGTTAATATATTCCCATTATGTTTACTGCCTTCAGTTTGTACAGACATTAAGATATATTTTATTGCCTATAATTTATTTAACATTAATATTTTGTACTTCTGAAAGTACTTTTGACTGCATTTATAATTTTTAAGCTCTTTTGCATAGGAAACCTGCAAATGTGAATTTGTCTGGTATTGTTATTCATATTTTATTGATGTGGAAACTAGCTTTGGGAGGATCAGTGCTGTCCCACCTCACCTGCAGTGGGAAAGTCAAGAATGAAGCTAGGCTCCACACACCTTTGAGATTTACATTTGGTTCTAAATATATTCAGAAGATACATACATACATACATATGTGTGTGTATATATATATGTCTGTAAACATATATTTTACCTTTATAGTACAGAATTCAGAACTTCAAGGAAAGATAAATGAGATCGAGAAAGCATTTCAGACATCTCAGTACAACTGGAAAGAAGAATGCAGAAGATTTGAATTGGATTTGGAGGAGAGAGACAACATAATTCAAAATTGTAATCAAGAATATGATGTTCTTTTGAAGGAAAAAAATAGACTAGAGAATATTCTGAAGGTACAGTGTTCTTACTAAGAAATTTTGGTTTGTTTACTTTTGGCTTGAAAGTCTAGTTACAATGTATTTTGTTGTAAACCAAGAAAATCTGACTTAGGAAAGATAAATAGCGAGTAGGGGCACACTGAGGTTTCTCATCATTTGTGCTTGTTTTCTGTGTGTTTGTGTTATGTGTGTATATGTTCATTTTCTTTCCTTCATTTTTATTTTATTTTATTTTTTTGCATTTTTCTCAGTGTGTTTTGTAATCCTTCATCACGTTAGAACTTTTGCTGTGAAAACGTTTATAGATGTTTCTAGACCAAATGACAAGATAATTTGTCTGCATGACATGCAAGAGATGACAAAAAATATAGCAGTTTGCCACTCAAGCGGTGACATATTTTGAGATTATATATGAATGAAATACATATTTTTGTTTGAACATACCATGATGGCAATATTTTATATATCTAGTTCAGATTCTAAATGTTATCCATGACACATATTATGTAAACGTTTAATGAATATTTAGTGTAATTTTTTTATGGTATATTTCTTCATTTGCATCCCTTAAGACAATTATGTAGAGGGTATCATGTAGAAGTTGAAGGGTGATTTTCAGATGTCTGCTATTTTTAACAGTGTGCAGTTCTATTGAATTCAACCTTTGAGTGCCTTCTGACTCTCAAACCAGTGCCCTTTTTACTGTTAACTTTATTACCTGGAATTCATTTTAATGCTTAGAATATTCAACAATTCTCACAAGCCAAGGTCAGGGCAGCCCTGTCCAAATACACTACGTCCTTTCTACATCTTATACTAAGGTCAGACGTTGCCTCAGCTTTAACTCTTCCACTTTCAAATGTCTGAGTTCTTAGGTTTTGGTAGGTGCTTCTTTTGTCAGGTATGCTTCTGTGGCAGTTTCTTTCTCTGTTTGCATGTGTCTTTTTAAAAAAAAAGTGGTGGTAATCGGGGGCAGCTAGGTGACGCAGTGGATAGAGTACTGGCCCTGGAATCAGGAGGGCCTGAGTTCAAATCAAGCCTTAGACACTTACTAGCTAGCTGTGTGACCCTGGGCAAGTCATTTAACTCCTGTTGCCTCCAAGAAAAAAAAAAGTGATGATAATCAAGTAGCAGTGTCAAATTTCATGATAGCTTTAATAAACTTGTGAAATGCCAGAATTTAGGGTGCTGGCTGTTCATGTGTTTGGCTTCATTTTTGGGAGAATGAAATCAGAAACGTAGTTTAATTGCCTAAGTAGGTTGGGTAGATGGCAGAAATAACACTTGTCATAATAAATGCTTAGTTTTGTTTTATCTGGGAGCCAAACTTAAGAATCTTTAAGGAATGGCTGCCATACTCAAGAATAGAAATAAAATAAATTTGGGAGATAAAAATTGAGGTAGAGATATGCAAAAGTTAGTTTATATGTGCTAGTACATGCTATTCTGATTATTGGCTTTTCTTTATTAATGATGCCTAGTGTGATAGGGGTATAGATTGAGACTGGAGAGGCTTATATCAACCCTGTAGGAGAGAAGGAACATATTACAGTCAAAGCATGTTAGTGACAAGATACATTTTAAAGAATTCCTAATGTATAGCCAACATCAGTTGAATAATGCTTCCTACTTTCTTTAGTTTTTAAAAAAGTCCAAAATTATTCTGGAGAGTGAATTTAATTTTTAGTTTTCCCATTCTCATTTGACCTTCTCACTCTTATTTCTCATAATACTTAGTCTTCATTACCCAGAATTATAGTTTTGGTTTTTTTTTTTCCCAACAACCAAGGTGTTTTTTGGCTGTATGTGATGCTGCGCTCGTATAGCAGGTCGCATACTGGGATGCTAATAGATATTCCTTGGAGTCTACTTCTCCCTTCTGTTGACTTATGTAAAACTACATAGCTTCCTATTCAGGTATACAGGGGTTTGATGTAACATAAGCATGATCTTTTTATTGATGAATTTCAATAAATTAAGTAGTTGTAATTTATTGTTAATTGAGGCACGTGTGTGTGTGTATATATACGTATATGTGTGTGTGTGTATATATATACATATATATACACACACACATATATGTATATATACACATATATGTATATATGTATATATTTGTATTTAAACAGGGTGGGGAGAGAGAAAATTTGATGAATAGATGAATAAAAGCAAAATTTTATTTATGTGAAGGAGACATTGGATCAGCATCAGGAGCAGAAGAATGAGCTGGAATCTCATATCAGGGAAACAGCACTTGAGGAATTTAGATTACAAGCTGAACAATGGGAAGCAGAAAGAAGAGAGTTACAATTTTTAGTACAGGTATTTAAAAATAGAAGTATATAGTTTGTACATTAAATCTATCCTTTCAGTGCCTATGCTGTTAAAATGACATTGATGGTGACAGTGATTAGTTCTGCCACCTTATTTCAGGCATTAATTTCTTTATTGTATATCTTGATGCAGATTTTGGCTCCTTCATGCCTTAGCAGACAGTTTTTGAGTTGTAGCACCTGATAGCTGAATCTTCCAGAACTTCTCCAGGCTGCTCCTCAGATGGTGGATCTATTGCTGGATCCATACATGAAGCCTTTCCAGTTTGGTCCAACTTGCAGAGCTTGGTTGTTCTAGGTTAACATAGCATTTGAATTTTTTTTTTGGTAGATAATATTTTTATTCGCAGTTATATGTAAAGATAGCTTTCAACATTAATTTTTATGAGATTTTGAGTTCCAGTTTTTTCTCCCTCCTTCCCTGTCTTCTATTCCCCTTCTCCAAGACAGGAAGCAATCTGATATAGGTTATATATGTGCAGTCATGTTAAATGTATTTACACATTAGTCATGCTGTGAAAGAAGAAATAGAACAAAAGGGAAAATCCACGATAAGAAAAAGCAAAAACCAAACAAAAAAATGAAAATAGTATGCTTTAATCTGCATTGTGTCCATTGTTCTTTCTCTGGAAGTGGGTAACATTTTCTATCATGAGTCTTTTGGAATTGTCATTATATTGCTGAGAAGAGGTAAGTCTATCATAGTTGATTGTCACACAATGTTGCTGTTACTGTACAACTTTCTCCTGGTTCTGGTCACTTCACTCAGCATCAGTTCGTGTTAAGTCTTTCCAGGGTAGTGTTTGAAATTTGAGTGTCACTACCATTCTATAATGAGGCATTCTAGCTTGAAAAAAGTATTTCATTTGGAATTATATTCACAAAGTAGTAACTAATCAGAGATGATCTAAGTTCAGCCACTCATTTTACAGATGGGAAAACTGACAATATCATATTACTTTTGAGTGATAGAGCCAGGACCAGAACTGAGGTTTCTTTTGCTTCCTGGTTTATTGTTCTTTTTATTACACCAAACTGCTTCTGAAATACTATGTAACTTGGTTTGGAAGAAATATTCAAAGTGCCATTATTATTTCCATAGAACAAGCTTAAGAGAAAAATTCTACCAGTCTACTAACATTGTTTGCTGGACCTTCTTGAGATGATTTTGTACCAAAGCAGACTATAGACAACACCACAATTTTCCCACTCTACTAAGTAAATAATAGACCAAATGATAAATTATGATAATTTAAAAAATATATTTATTGAACACAGATGCATGCATCACCAAATATATAGCCTTAAGTTAGAAAATATTTCATAAGATTAATACTTTAAAAGGTATTGAGGAAAAAGTGTTATATGTTTTCCAGAAGTGTAAATCCTGAATTTATTCTGTATTTAAACATTCAGAGTTCCAAAGTAAAATATTATCTGTTTTTGATCTTAGACTTTTGTCTTAGACCATCCTTGGATTCTGGTGCTGTTCTTTCCAGCTGTATCTTCCTTCATTTTTTGTCCGAATGTTACGAAATCTGTCTTCTCCATGAAAAATAAACCTAAACACTTAAGAAATCTTATATGTGCCTTGCCAAAGACATACAACATTGTCCAGAGACCAACCTTAAATATATTGATGACAGATATTTTCTATGAACAATCTTCTAGCCAATTCTTGTTAAGCCAAAATGGAGAAATTTGAGGTTACATCAAGTTATTTATACATTTTATAGGTGCCTTACCATATCATTCTGATCTTTCTGTTTCACTCAAACTATTCCCTCTAAAGTTACTAATTATCTCTTAGTCATTAAATTCAGTGACCTTTTCTTAATCTTCTTTGTCTTTGATCTATCTCTCTGCAGCCTTTGACGCTGTTGATCACGTCCTCCTTGATACTCTTCTTGACTCTAGATTTTTGGGATACTGCACTTGCCAGGTTCTTTTCCTTCCTATTTGACTGCTCCTTCTCAATCCCCCTCCAGATAATGTCCTCTAACTAAAAGTGTCCCTTAGGGTTCTGTCCTAGGCCCTTTTCTCTTCTCCCTCTATACTGCACTTAATGACCTCATCAGTTCCTATGGATTTAATGATCATCTATGTTGATGATCATTAAATCTGCTTGTCCTACCCCAAACTCACTGCAGACCTCCAAATTCGCATCTCCTGCTGCCTTTTAGACACCTCGTGTTGGATGTCCATTAGTCATCTTAAATTCAACATATCCAAAACAGAAATATTATCTTTTCCCCAATCCTCCCTCCACTTCTACCTTCCCTATTACTGTAGAGGGCAACACCATCCTCCCAGTCCCCTCGTGTTGGAACCTAGGAGTCATACTTGTATTCCTCATTATCTCTGAACCTCCTCCCCCCAAATTCAATCTCTTGTCAAAGCTAGCCAGTTTCACCTTTACAACATTTATTGAATATGATCCCTTCTCTCCTCTGACATTGCCAACCATTCTCATCACCTTACTCCTAGACTATTGCAGTAGCCTAATGATGGGTCCATCCTCCATTCAGCCACTAAAGTGATTTTACTAAAGCACAGATCTGACTGTGTCATTCTTATACCCAATAACCTATAATGTCTCCCAATTACCTCCAGGATCAAATACAAAATGCTCTGTTTGGCATTCAAAGCCCTTCATGATCTAGTCCTCTTTAATCATTCTAATCTTATACCTTGCTCTCCATCTCATACTCTTCAATCCAGTGACATGGGCCTTCTGGCTGTTCCATGGACAAGACATTCCAGGCATTCTCTCTGGTTGTCCCCTATGCCTGGAATGCTGTCCTTTGCTCTGCCTACTACTTTCCCTGATATCCTTTAAGTACCAACTAAAATCTCATCTTCTGTAGGTCTCCTTCTCTAACCCCCTCCCCTTCTGTCTCTCTCTCTCTCTCTCTCTCTCTCTCTCTCTCTCTCTCTCTCTCTCTCTCTCTCTCTCTTAAATGAGGCAGTGGGGTGAAGTGACTTGCCCAGGGTCACATAGCTAGTAAGTATCAAGTGTCTTAGGCCAGTTTTGAACTCAGGTCTTCTTGAATCCAGGTTTGGTGCTGTATCTACTGTGCCATTTAGCTGCCCCAACCTCTCTTTGTAATGCTTTCTCTCAGTTAATTATTTCCTATTTATCTTGCATATAGTTTGCTTTGTATATGTTTATTTGAATGTCATTTCTTTTATTAGATTGTAAGCTCCTTGAGGGTGTGGACTGTCTTTTATCTCTTTTTGTATCCCCAGCCCCAACCTCAGTAATTGACAAAGAGTAGGCATTTAATAAATTTTTCGTGATTTTTTAAAAAGCAAATTAAATGACAAACCTTGGTTTTTACTTGCTAACAATCTAAGATGGGTAGACATCTGTAGACAGACATGTAGAACAATGCTTTATCCAACTTCTTTTATTTAATTTCTGAAATGCTACATAAACCAGAGGGTAAAGAATTTGTTGCTCCCTGATAAAAGTTACTAGGTATGGACATTTGTGCTAGCAGAGAAGTGGGAAAAGATAAACTTTCTCTATGATGGATAAAGGAAACAGTAAAATAAGGTATCATATTAGGCCATAAGAGATAGCATGTTGTAAGTCTGATGTCTAGGACTGATGAATTGGTAGAAAAGTCTAGAGGGTTAGACAGGTAGCAAGAGTAAGTCAGACTGGAGGTGGTGTTAGCCAGTGATGGGTTTGTCAAGTCATGCTAGGGAAGAAAGAATGGGCTAGAGCTTGGTAGACAAAGGGCAGATGAATGTAGTATTCAGATGTCATCTGGGCTGTAGAATCTAGATTCAAGGAAAAATATCAGGAACAAATTTACACATATGGTAAGGATAGGACAGAAATGAATAGAGGCACGCTTGACAGCAATGATTAGGAACCCATGCCAGGGGACTGGATAACATGGGAACAGGTACTAAACAAAGTGTCTGATTAGCGTTGTACTTGCAGTTAATACTACTCTTGTTCTTCCTAGAGGCAGCTAACTAGATGATGCAGTATATAGAGCACTCGAAAGGGCTTGAAGTCAGGAAGACCTGATACACTTACTAGATCTATGACTGGGCAAGTCACTAACCTCTTGTTGCCTTAGTTTTCTCAGCTGTAAAATGAGGAATGTAAATAGCAATCACTTCACAGGGTCATTATGAGGATCAAATGAGATACATGTAAAGTGCTGGGCACAGTATCTGGCACATAGATGCTTAATAAATTTTTATTTATTTCTTTTCTTTCTTTACTTCCCTTCCTTTGCTTCCTTGTTTCCCTGTTTCTTATAAAGGTCTCACTATTCTTTCTGTCATTCAAGTTCACAACTTTGGAGTCATCCTTGATTCTTCATCCTTCCTTATTCCTTACACTGAATTACTTTCCAAGGTTTGTTGATCCACTTATACAATGTATTTCACATTTGTCCCCTTCTTTCCACTCTCCTAGTTCAGACTGTCTGCGTCTCATCAGGACTGTTGTAATAATCTCCCTTCATTCTCTACCTTCTCCATTCTATTTATTCTCCACATAGCTGGCAAAGTGACATTCCTACTATACAAGTCTGACCATGTTGTGCACCTTGTTGCCTCTAGGTATAGGAATAAAAACACTGATTGCCATTAATAGTTTTGCTCCAGCCTACCTTTCCAGGCTCATAATACCTCTGTATGTGCTATGGAGTATAGCCAAACTGACCTACTTGCTATTCCTTACACATAACTTTCCTTTTTCCATCTCCATGCCTTTGTACAGGAACTCTTCCTCTTCTAGAGCTCTCTCCCTCCTTGCCTTCCTCTCTGAGAATCTGTTGCTTTCTTCAAAGTTCTGTTCAAGTGCTACTTCCTGTAGGAAGCCTTTCCTGTTACTCTTCAGGTACTTGTGCCTCTCCCTCTTCTCAAACTTACCCTTTATTTACTTTGAATACATTTTTTATTTACTTATGTGTATATATTGTTTCTTCAGATGAATGTAAGCAAGTTGAGGGCGAGTCATTT